GACACCTTCCATGGCCCGGGTGGGACCTGAAAGCTCACCTGGTTCCCATGGGTACAGCAGCTTCCAGGTGAGTGGGGGGGAAGGTTTGGGACAGGTGAGTGCAGGTGCATCCATCGAATTGGGGGCGAAGGTTTTCCCAGAGGGAAAATCCCCTTCCCAGGGGTGATATCCCCCTTCCCAGAGGGAAAATTCCCTCCCCAGCAGTGGGGGGACACCTGGGACCTTCCCTTCCCTCCCCGCTCCCTCCTCCAGGAAGGGATATCCCGGGATTTTTTAAATTTTTTTAAAATCCTGGGTTTTTTTAATCCAAGTAATCTCGGATTCTTCGCCCGTCAGCTCCAATCAAAGCCGTGATCAGTTGAACCCAGCTCCCGTGGGACCATGGGACCATCCCATCCCAGCTAAACCCGGCTTTAACCGGAGCTTGATTGACGATCCCGTGAGTTTTAACCCAAACCCGGGGTTTTGGCCCCGGAATTCCTCAAATCCGCTGGAGAGGCCGATTTCAGTCTGTCCCGGGGTCCGTGGGATCCACGTACAAATCCACTGGGATGGGGGGGTGTTTGGGCATGGGATGGTTTAGGAGGGGGGTTATCAATGGGTTTATCAATAGCTTGTTTATCAATGGGTTTATCCATAGGGGATTTATCAATGGGTTTATCCACAGGTGGTTTATCGATGGGTTAATCAATAGCTTGTTTATCAATGGGTTAATCAATATCTTGTTTATCAATGGTTTATCAATAGCTTGTTCATCAATGAGTTTATCAATAGCTTGTTTATCAATGGGTTTATCTATAACTTCTTTATCAATGGGTTTATCCATAGGGGGTTTATCACTGGGTTTATCAATAGATTTATTGATGGGTTTATCAATGGATTTATTAATGGGCCTATCCATGGGTTTATTGATGGGTTTATCAATAGATTTATTGATGGGCCTATCAATGGGTTTACCAATGGGTTTATCCATGGGTTTGTCAATGGATTTTTTTGATATCAGTGGGTTTATCGATGGGTTAATTGATGGATTTATCAATGGATTTATTAAGCCTATCAATGGGTTTATTGATGGGCCTATCAATGGCTTTCTCAATGGGTTTATCAATAGATTTATTGATGGTTTATCAATGGATTTATTAATGGGCCTATCCATGGGCTTATTGATGATTTTATCAATAGATTTATTTGTGGGTCTATCAATGGGTTTATCAATGGATTTTTTGATAGCAATGGGTTTATCAATGGGTAATTAGTGCGTTTATCAATGGATTCATCGATGAGTCCATCAATGGTTTTATCAATGGATTTATCAATGGGTCTATCAATTAGTTCATTGATGGGTTTATCAATGGATTTTTTGGTATCAATGGGTTTACTGATGGGTTTACCAATGGATTTTTTGATACCAATGGGTTTATTGATGGGCTTATCAATAGATTTATTGATGGGTTTATCAATGGGTTTATTGATGGATCTGTCAATGGCTCTATCAACAGATTTATCAATGGATTTTTTGATATTAATGGGTTTATCGACAGGTCAATCAATGGGTTTATCAATGGATTTATTGATAGGCCTATCAATGGATTTATTGATGGGTTTATCAATGGGTTTATTGTTGGGCCTATCAATGGATTTATTGATGGGTTTAACAATGGGTCAATCAATGGGTCAATCGATGGGTTTATCAATAGGTCTTTCAATGGGTTTATCAATGGGTTTATCAATGGGTCTATCAATGGGTCTATCAATAGGTCAATCAATAGGTCTATCAATGGGTCTATCAATGGGTCAATGGACGGGTTTATCAATCGGTTTATCAATGGGTTTATCAATGGGTCAATCAATAGGTCTATCAATGGGTCAATCGATGGGTTTATCAATGGGTCAATCAATGGGTTTATCAATGGGTCTATCAATGGGTTTATCAATGGGTCAATCAATAGGTCTATCAATGGGTCAATCGATGGGTTTATCAATGGGTCAATCAATGGGTTTATCAATGCCTTTATCAATAGGTCTATCAATGGGTCAATCGATGGGTTTATCAATGGGTCAATCGATGGGTTTATCAATCCGTTTATCAATGGGTTTATCAATGGGTCAATCAATGGGTCAATCGACGGGTTTATCAATAGGTCAATCAATGGGTCAATCAATGGGTCTATCAATGGGTCAATCAATGGGTCAATCGATGGGTTTATCAATGGGTCAATCAATGGGTCTATCAATGGGTTTATCAATGGGTCTATCAATAGGTCAATCAATGGGTCTATCAATAGGTCTATCAATGGGTCAATCAATGGGTCAATCGATGGGTTTATCAATGGGTTCATCAATCACTGGTCTCTGCATTGATCACCGAAGCACACAAGAACATTTCAGGCTCCTCCATATTTTGGGGATTTCTCCTCTTTCCGTCGTTTGTTTGACGAGGAAAGGGCTCGGATTCGACTCCCTTTGATCCCAACCTTTCCCTTTCCTCCAGCCCGGGGCGTGTGACCCCCCCCGACCCCCCCGACCCCCCAGCCCTTTGTGCTGCACCCAACTCGGGGACCTTTTGTGCTGAAAACACCAAAAAAAGAGAATTAAAGGCTGTTTGGAAAATGTGAATAAAGCGAAATGTTTGGAATTCTCCTCTGAGAAAGGCTCTGGCTGCCGCGGGCTGGGGGTTCCCTCACCTTCCCTCCTCTTTCCTGACGGGTTGGGAACTTCCTTTTTTTGGGGTTTAGTGTTTTTTTGGGGGGGATTTGGGGTTTTCCCAGCCCTGGGCACACGTTGGTTGATTTTCCTCCCCTGCTCGACTTCGTAAATTAAGGGAGAAAAATAAAACAAACAAGAAAGCAACTCAGCTTTGGGAAGATCCTCAAATCCAGGGAATTTGGGCAGATTCCCCAAATCCAGGGATTTCAGGTGGATCCCGAACTCCAGGAGATCCAGGGAGACACCCTCCCGCCCCCAGGGAATTCAAGTAGAGCCCTCAAAATCCAAGGAATTTAGGCAGGTCCTGAAATCCAGGATATTCAGGCAGATCCCAAAATCCAAGAAATTTCATCAGACCTCCAGCTCCAGGGAATTCAGGCAGATCCCAAAATCCAAGAAATTTGCCCAGACCCCCAAATCCAGGGAATTCATGTACAAACCCCAAACCCAAGAAATTTAGGCAGATCCCCAAATCCAGGATATTTGGGTGGACCCCCCAACTCCAGGGAATTTAGGCCAATCCCCAAATCCAGGATATTTGGGCAGATCCCAGCTCTGGAGAATTCAAGTGGAGCCTCCAAATCCAAGACATTTCGGCAGATTCCCAAATCCAGGAGGTTCAGGCAGATCTCCATCCCTGGGAAATTCAAGTAGAGCCCCCAAATCCAGGATATTTGGGCAGATCCCAACTCCAGAGAATTCAAGGAGAGCCCCCAAATCCAAGAAATTTAAGCAGATCCCCAAATCCAGGATATTTAGGCCGAGCCCCAGCTCCAGGGAATTTAGGCACATCCCCAATTCCAGGGAATTCAGGCAGATCCCACATCCAGAATCTGGGCAGGTCTCAACTCCAGGGAGTTTTAGGCAGATTCCCAATTTAGGCCAATCCCCAAATCCAGGATATTTTGGCAGATCCAGGGAATTCAGGCAGATCCCAACTCCAGGACATTTAGGCAGAGCCCCCCAGCTCCAGGGAACTCAGGCAGACCCCCAACTCCAGGGAATTCCAGGCAGACCC